ATTCATTCATTCCGTCACATGCAGAGGCACAGAAATGTTTCGCTGAAATGCAGAGTGACAGTTTATTCTTTCTTATGTCATCTATCTCCAGTGGCATTTATGAATATAAATATAAATAAGGTTATTATCATTGAGTTTTTGAGTTTGATCGTTTAATTTTCAGTAAAAGTTCAGTGTTATTTAGCAGACTAGTTTGGTTGTTAGCTCACTAAGCTGTCTGGATGTTCAAAATGGTCAAATCACTTGACAAGGAGCTATGCTGGTATGGCAGGATGATAGACCATTTCATACAAAAAAGAGAGCAAAAGTTACATATAAGCAGCTGTCTAGCTATATTAACAAAAAAGACCATTTTTAAGTTATATTACCAACTACATAAACTTTGCTTCCCCCATTTTAAAAAACGCCACTGCTGTACATGACATGGTAAAATTGCCCAGAAGTACTTCACTCGTAACATAATTTTACTTATGTATTAATGCAACCTGAATAGCAGACAATTTCACACTTTGAGAGCACATACACTTGGATTTCAAGTTGCTTTTATGAATGTTAGATCTGTGTTCCTTTCAGCATTATAATCTGAAACTTTTTAGTCACCCTAACACTCAAAATCCACTGCAGTGTTGGTAGAAGTGACATCAATTCAAGGGGCAGCATAGTGGTGCAGTGCTTAGCATTGTTGCCTCACACCTCTGGGACTAGGGTTTGAGTCTTCACCATGGCTACATGTTCTCCCCGTGTCGTCGTGGGTTTTCCTCTGGGTACTCTGGTTTCCCCCCACAGTCCAAAAACATACTGAGGCTAACTGGGGTTAACAGATTGCATGCGTGTGTGAATGGTATGCAAGTGCCCAGTGATGGGTTGGCGCCCCATCCTGAGTTATTCCATTCCTTGCACCCATAGCCTTTGGCAAGGGGCTCTGGACTTCCTGTGACCCTAAATTGGACAGGAGGTTACAAAAAATGGTTGGATAGATGAATTGCCAACTGTTTTGCTGTAATGCATTCAATAAATCTCCTTCATTCAAAAGACCATAAATACATACTCAGTTGTTTTTACGGTGTTGATTTGGAAAAGAAATACTGTGCCTCAGTTATCAAGATGTGTTACCTGGTGCACACATTATCTTTGTCCATTTTGCCCAGTGGTGATGTTCAAACCAAGAACATTACCATGTGCCCAGAGACATACACATTAAGAACAGAATTTCATTCCATGATATGTTAACTGTAGAATTATTTGGTTTGTGTGACTGTAATACCCTAATGAAATTTTCTTGAAATGGTTAAACTCTTCTGAATTAAGTGCATATGATGTTCACACAACAGTATTTAATAGTATTAATCGGTACCTATTTGGGTTATACCATGTTATCATGTTATACATTGTGTGTTTTGATCTAACTCTATGCTTAGATGCTTAGGAGGAATACATGCTCTTTGTAAGTTTTATATATATATATATATATATATATATATATATATATGAATTAATTTGTCAAATTTCCTTAACAGAATTCATAATAAATAGATGCAGCCTTGACTGCAGACTTGAGGGTCATTACTACATGTAAAAAATCCACAATATTAAATAAACAAAAGAACACTACTGGCAGTACAGTGGACTTTGGGTCTATCAGTGGATCTGCTTCACTGTGTATCTGCAGCCAGACCTTTCTCCTCATACTTGCTTAAACTATTATATACAACATTCATACAACTAAGTTTCAGATTTCCAACAACACCAGAACAGAACACCTATAATTAGCCCGAAATATGACCAAAGTACAGCAGCCCTTCTACTGCACATCTCTTCCTCACCACACAAAATGTTATCAGCCTTACTTACATACTTGCTTTCCATAAATACTGTCGTGTAAGTTTATCACAGTTAATGGGCTGAAAATAAAAAGGCTACTACAGCTGGTTCTGTTGTTACAGAAACCAGAACCCATTTCTATGTTCCACTCTGACTAGGTGCAGCTAAGAGAAGATCAGTTTCCGCAGACAAAAACTGAGGCTGGACTGCAGTCGCTTCCTGTTTTTTTTCCTGTTAGACCAGAGGACATCCTGTGACTAAAGTGACAGCAATGTCTCTTCAGGACAATTATGTTGGGCTCAGCTCTGGGCTCTGGTCAGAACACAGTAAGCAGAATTGGGTACTTTACATCAGAGTACTTTACATCAGAGTTTGCCTAAGTAAATATCAATAAGTTACCCTTGCCTTGGATCATTTTTGTCACAAAAAGTGTAAGTTACTGCAGAGATATTTTGTGACTGATTTCTGCCTCTATTTTACAGCTGAACTGTCACTTTTGTTACAAACCACGCGGATTGTTTAGCAGAACATAAAGAAACAAAGGGCCCATTGTCTACCAAATGCATCAACATCATACAGCTGGACCCCCAAACGGCATCAGTGCGCCTGTATCTGCTCTGTCTTCAACACCTCCTTGCCTCTGCTTGTGGGCAGGTGCTTCCATTGAAAATGGCAGCTGTTTCTCATGGTCATCACAACTCTTTCTCTATTCTTTCCATCAGTGTTTTTTTCTGATATATAGCAATATATACCTCACTTTGTGTCACTACCACAAAGATGCGGCTGATATGCAAGTAATAAGCTATATGTGAAGCAACATTACACATTATCCAGAGGAACACTACAATATTCCATAATCCAGATTTGTATGCGACACAGTTAGAGCGTGGGTCAGGCTGACCTTGAGACACGCTTAGGAATTCCCACAGACTGCCACAGGGAGTCGGGGGCACCTAAATGAGGCATGTGATGGCTAAAGCATCTGCTCCTCTCCACAGGAGAGAAAGGAGCAGCAGGAAACCAAAGCTGCGAAAGTTACAAGCCGAGCTGATTGGAGAACATCAACTGGCACTCCCAGAAAGGACTGCATTTAACATGAGATGAACTGGCCTTATATATGTCCAATAATTTTCTGTTTCTAAGTAAAATAGGAGTTAGCCTGGAGCCTTGCTATCGTCCACCTCATCACCCCAGAGCCTGATACCTCAGTCACAGCTCTCCCCTCGCAATTCATATGGGAGAAGAACCCACACACTCACATGTCAAGCACCCCAACAACCAAGTTGCAATTACACAGCCCTGACACCCATCTCCAGGAGCGCTTAGTGGGGTGGGGTGGGACATAGCTAGTGGCGAGATAATCGACTATTGTTCAACAGTCAGCATACAACCTCCCCACTGACAGCTTCTAGGGCTGGATGCCACACCATGAGGGCTTGTCCTAGTCCAGATACTTTCAGGCGCTTGAACTCCCTTGCAGGAGGCCTGCTTTTGGACACTTCACATTGTCACTGGGTGAAGGGTTTTCTGAATGACTTCAAGACTGAGGCCCAGGCTCTGACAGACTCCTGTTCCAAAAGATATGCTTGTGATGTCCTCATAGCATTCAAAAGTTCATGCCTGTGAATTAGATTGGAGCGAAAACCCTCCGTGGAATCCAACCTGTTGCTGATTGCCTGCTGTGATAAGTGGTGTTTATTTCCATTCAGACCTGAATTACTGGTTAAAGCTGTCTTTGAATACCATATAAACACATAATGGAAACTGTGGTGGTAGCTGAATACATGTGAGAGGTTATGCATTTGCAACAGCCAATGCAACAGATACTTGAGTTGGGCTTCATCAACAATGAGATCACATGTGGAACGATGGCAAGGTGAAACACAAAATACATTTTATTCATTTAAGTGGTAACTTAGCCAAGAGCAACAGCTTTGCAGGAGATTTTCAGTCACACAAAAGCATCAATAAATTTGAAGTGTCCCATCCTCACATACGGGTTTAAAGGCTTTAAATGCATGAAGCACGGGGCAGACCTGCCCCCAAAAACATGAAGGTCTCCCTCATACATCTGTGTTAAGATACCAGGGTCACATATTCAAACAGCGCTCAGTCTTGGTCCTGCACGGATTTTATGCCTAGAGCCACCTTACATTTATTTATTATTCATAATCTGAATATCCAGAACATTTTCACTTAAGCACCATTGCTCACATTATAAACATGGTGCTACCTTGTATTACTTGGAAGGGAAATTGCAGCTATATTGATCAAGCAGGCATATGAAATGTATGCATATAATAAGACTGCCAGCTAGATTAAGTACAATTACAAGCCCAATATCGACGAACCAACAAACACAACCAAGACCCCGTTTACCATCGATTTTGCTGGTTATTTCAGTAAAACCCCAACTCACTTAACATGAAGAGCCAAGTTACAGCTTGAACCATAATATCACACGAGTCCCAGTACCTTACTCTGCTTTTTTTGTATAAAATACACAAAAACACAAACTTAACAGCTTGTCATTCCATACATATGAGGCAATAACTATTTTTTTAAAGCCTATCAGCTGAAATTTTCCACATGTTTTATCCTTTTTAAAATGAAAATATGTTGTAAACAAGTGAGGCAGGAATGAATTTGACCGGTTCCAACAGAAGCGAAACCGGTTATGACTGCGGTTAGGAGTTCAGATGCGGTGGCGAAAAAACGCAGTAAAAAGGTTTGTGGGACATTTGCGTGGGATCAGAGCTCAGAAATGTTTATGGTAATATATTCCCTGCCTGAGACAATCGCTATTGTTAGGAAACAAAAGTACAGGAAACAGAGTGGATGTGCTCCATCAATTCAATGGTTTTCTGCACAAACGCTGCCTGATCAAAATAATAATAATAATCATGCCAAGATACAAAAAACTTCTTATAACTATATGCAATAAAATCCCGGTTTATAATTCGTCGATCTTATCTGTGGTAACCAATCGAGAAAACTGCCCCAATGTCATGCTGCCCAAATGAGCGCTTTTCAAGGTGATTCGTACGGGGGGAAAATGCAAAACCTGTGAAACAGCGACGATTTGACAGTTTTAGGACTCTTTATGAAGCAAGATTCAAATCAAATGTCAAGCCCAAGCACGCTTTCAGTTTTATTTACACTACGCTCCACAAACCAACCTTAAAGACATCCCCGTAGGTGCCGCTCCCGATCCGGTGAACCAGTTCGTAGTCATCCAGCGGGTCCAGGAAGGAGACCCCGATCACATCCATGCCGCCGTCAGCCGATCGGCGCCCCTCGTCTCACAGACGGAGTATCATGTTATTGCCAGCTGCGGAATGCCAATGCGCCCTTCGTGCCTCTCTCCAACATCCAGCTGGCTCTGGAAGGGGAGGGGAGGGGAGGGGTACGGGGTAGCCACAACAGCCAATCCGCCCTGGGAAATACTGTACAGCCCGCAGACACCCGTTTCCCCCTTCTTTCCTACCACTGGCCGCTAACGCATTTCAGTGTCTCAACGTTATTGGACATGATTGTATTTATTGAGCGAGTGTAGTGGGATTTATTATTTTTCCATAGCGAGTGGGTTAAGTTTTAATATCGCGTTCCAATATTTGGATGTGTGCTAGCAAAAATTAAAAAGTCACGCCTCAATTGAAATAATTTTATTTGTACACAAAATATGAAGCAGTACATTAAGAAAAGACAGCACAGTATCCGCTCTTCCACAGTACACGGTCTACTTCTAATTTTTTTTTAAAAATTCTATTCCCCAATGAGGTTTGTCTACCAATTTAGCAGTTCCCGTTATTGTCAGACACGGTGAATAAAATTAGAGAAACAATTAAGGCATTGCATAAAAGGAGAAAGTCATAAAAATACAAATCAATCTGTTTACAACAAAGCCATCAGAATGATTTTTTCTTGGCCTGGAGTACATGAAAAACAAGAACAAGAGGAGTGACGATGAGAAAGCTCTTGCTGAAAAAGACCCCCTATTCCGTTTTGGTTTGGCAGATCTTTAACTTCATTGAGGGGAAAACTGCTTATTCTGTAAACCCCATTACAGGAATTACAATGGGTCTACCCATCTCTTCTACAGTTTTACTTTCATATTGCCATTGTGAGTGCAAATTGACAGAGGAGGAGTCACAGAGAACACGGCAGGAAGTACAGGATGCTGCAGAGAAGTAGGATTAGGGCCGAGCCTCAACCCTAAGGAATGCCCAGCAGGAAATCACATGCCCGTGTCATTCCAGAGTCTGCATATGCGTCCAGCTCCTTGCCATCCTTCTTTTTGGCAATGTTTCAGGTAGAGTATGCAATGTGTGTTCACATCTATCTTTAAAAAATAATCCATGAAACACAGCAGTTCGTTCCATACAGAGGAAACTCTACATGGTCTTTCGCTGTCGTTTCATGAAGGACAGTGTGTAGTCGCCTGGCGACGAGGGCTTCTGCCGTTTCATCTGCACCTGCGACTGCGCAGTCAGCTGCAGCTTGATGGCACTGGAGTTGACCTTGGCCGCAGACAGCAGCTCCTTCATGCCTTTCATCTTCTCGCTGTGAAATGTGACCACAGGCCCCCCGGGGATGGGCTGGGGCGGGGTGGCTCCTGGGGACGCTGCGGGGGTGGGGCTCGGCGTCCCTGCGCGTGTCCTCTGCTCTGAGTCGGCGGTCCGTATCAGTGGGCTGGAGCGTCGCCGGCCTCCACTCTCGCCTCCAATCTTCTTGGGCAGGGCAGCCGGAGTGGGTGGGGCCACAACCTGTGGCGGGGGCAGGGGCACCTCCTCCACTTTGGACTCGCGCCTGGGGCCACGCCTTCGCCCCTCTCGGGGGTCATCACTGGATTGGTCATCATCATCCTGGGGTTCAGGCTCTTTTGTGATGATTGTGACCTTCTGACGCACCTAAGGGGTTATGTGCATGGGTGAAGAGGGGGCGTGACAGAGTCACGATACAGGTGAGACTATGGCCATCACGTTGATAACATGTGGCCAGTCTGCATAATAATGCATAATGCATATAAAATCAGCTTAGCAACAAAGGACAGCTATAACTGGATGTTCATCATTGGTAGATTCAGCTGTTAAATATAATTAGTGGTGCACAACATTGTGGATTTTGGCATAGCAGAAGAAAGCTGGAAAGGCTGTAAATGACACAACCCCCCCCACCCCCATACCTGTGCATCAAAGCGGCTAAGCGACTGCACCAGGTACGTGGCCCAGCCCACGTGTAGCACAGGCGTGGGGCTGCCTTCTTCCCACTTGCAGATGCCATCGTAGAAGCACAGCAGGTGAGCAAAGCATTCTGGGTCCTGCAGGGCTGAGAGAGCTGCCGCCTTCTGGGGAGCATCCTTTCAGGAGCGAACACGGCAGGACGATAAAAGGATTGCAGAGAAAATGAGAGGTAAATGTGAGGAGGATGATAAGGCGGTTAAATCATCAGGAGCCACAGTTCTGCGGGTTATAAAGGAAACAGACTGGCACTTACAGTACAACACCAACATGATTAAAGTTAAAACATGAGATAAGATGAACACAGCATGAGAGGGCAGGATGCCCCACACTAAAGGCTCCCCCATTGCCATTTAACCAAAGTCTGAAAAGCACTCAGGGCAGTGAGGCAAATGGAATAACATTGAGGACCAAGGTGATTCATGCGGCAAAGGGATCAGAGCAGGGAGGGACAGTGAGATGGATTTTGTCACTTGGAAGCCAGGGTGAGCACCTGCTCTGCGATATCGGAGCCCTCGCCTCCTTCTGTGCCACTCTCCGCTGCAGCCGCCGTTTCCTTCAGCAGCGTGGGGATCACGTCATTGGCGATGTCGAAGAACTCCTTGTAAATCTCCTCATCCTCACGGAAGTAATTATAACTGTGGGGCAGGGTCAGGGGGCATTGCAATGAAAGGACGTTTAGACATCCACCTTGATAATGTGAATTTATGAATGTCATTCTAGAAAATTTCCATTAAATAACTACAATAAATTTGCAATAATAAATAAATTTACATTACTGGTAAATAAATGTGACAGGGTTAAGCAGGAGCAAAAAAAAGCCGTATTGAAGGAGGAAGTCGGTGTCAGTCAAACGGCGGCAGTAACACTACATCAACCGTATTACAGTAGGAAGGCAGTGCCACCTGCACCGTGGCAGTAACATGACATCAACCGTATTACAGTAGGAAGGTAGTGTCAACATCTACCATGTTACAGTAGGCAGCCGGTGTCAGCTGCACAGCGGCTGTAAATCTCCTCATCAGTAACACAACATCAACCGTATTACAGTAGTATGCCGGTGTTAGCCGCACGGCGGCAGTAACACAACGTCAACCGTATTACAGAAGGAAGACAGTGTCAACATCTACCATGTTACGGAAGGGAGCCGGTGTCAGCCGCATGACAGCAGTAATACTACCTCAACCGTATTACAGTAGGAAGGCAGTGTCAGCCACATGGCAGCATTAACACATCAACTGTATTACAGTAGGAAGGCGGTCTCAGCTGCACAGTGGCAGTAACACAACATCAACCGTATTACAGTAGGAAGGCAGTGTCAGCCGCAGAGCAGCAGTAACACTACATAAACCGTATTACAGTAATAAGCCGGTGTCAGCCACTCGGCAGTGGTAACACGGCATTGGCTGTATTACAATAGGAAGCCAGTGTCAGCCGCACGACGACAGTAACACCACATCTACCATGTTACAGTAGGAAGCCAGTGTCAGCTGCACGACGGCAGTAACACAACATCTACCATGTTACAGTAGGAAGCCAGTGTCAGCTGCACGGCAGCAGTAACACATCAACCGTATTACAGAAGGAAGCTGGTGTCAGACGCACACAGGCAGCAACATGATGTCAACCATATTATAGTAGGAAGGCAGTGTCAGCGACATGGTGGCAGTAACACAACATCTACCATGTTACAGTAGGAAGCCAGTGTCAGTCGCACGGCGGCAGTAACACCACATCTACCATGTTACAGTAGGAAGCCAGTGTCAGTCGCACGGCAGCAGTAACACCACATCTACCATGTTACAGTAGGAAGCCAGTGTCAGTCGCACGGCGGCAGTAACAAAACTTCAATCGTATAAGAGTAGGAAGGTGGTGTCAGCGGCAGTGACACAACATCAACCGGATTACAGTAGAAAGGTGGTGTCAGTCGCACTAAGGCAGTAACATGGTGTCGGCTTTATTACAGTAAAAAGGCAATATAAGCGGGAAAAGTGGCACTGCGGCGGTACCACAGTGTTGGCTGTATTACAGTAGGAACACAATGTCAGCTGCACTGCATCAGTAACACGACATCAGCTGTATTACAGTAGGAAGGTGGTGTCAGCTACACGGTGCTGGTATTGGCCGTACAGGTGCGGTGTCGGCTTAATACCCCCAGGGATGTGGCATTGACTGTACAGCAGCATCAGCGATATGAGGGAGTCTCAGCATTTCTGAGGAAATTGATGTGAGAAAGAGCCAATTCTGACCCAAAGGGAATGGCAGACACTGAATAACAATTGGAAAAGGAAGGAAAGGGAGGTAGAGGGGACGGACCTCCTCCAGGAAAGAGGCCCGCTGCTGTCTCGGCCTTAGGCCTCAGCTATATTTAGCACCCCATACAGGAGACAATCCTGTGTGTTTGACCCCAGAAACGCAGCCTCGCCTCATCTTTCCTCCAACTGGAGCTCTCCCTGGGTGCAGTAAAGATGAGCTGGGCTTAGGCAGTAACACAGGCAGGAAGTAATACTCCCAAGCTCCACATCTGCACCCATACTCCCCCTACTGAATCAGCTCTGAACTTTCTCACAGACAAATGCAATTAAAATAATGTGCTTCCTCACGCTGATTTCAAAACTGCACAGCATCATCACTGATATGCAGGTATTTAAAAATAACAATTTTAAATTCATTTATTCATTTAGAACCACAAGCTGCAGATGACTATTCAGAGATTGTGCATGTGACTGCAGCCCATGCGGGACTCACTCCTGCATGACGGAGGCCGCCTCAGCCCAGGCTCCCAGCGCCTCGCGGACATTCCTGTGCCTGTAGTGGTACCCCGCCAGATACATGAAGGGGTAGATGTGCTCATTGTTGTAGTACTTCTGAGCAGAGTTGACAGCCTGAAACGAATCAAACAACTCAGACTTATTGGCAGGCATAGGGGCAAACACTCTACACCTGCTGTTACGACAGCAAATATTGACAAATATTAAGGCATTTTGGCTGTTAAATCTTTTTTTTTTTAAATGTTGTTCGATTCAAAATGCACAATGAAACATGAATTAATTTACTCATATGGGGTGAATCTAAATTCACAAGCAGATGTTCAGCATAGAAACATTATGCTAATTGTGGCTGTGAGTTGGTTATAGCTAATGCTGGTTACAGTCAATCATACTTGCAAAGCCAGAGCTCGATGACCCTCCCATGTCACTTAAATCAGTGGTTTGGGAAAATTCTGGTTTCCAAATAAATTACACCAACACAAGAGAGTAGGTGATAAAACCGAGACTGTCTGTTCAGTTATACAGAACTCAGATATGCTGCTGGAAACACATCCAACATGCTAGCTCATTGTTAAAGTTCAGTTCAGTCCTCATTTTTTGTGTGTTTTTGGGGGGTAGGTTATGAATAAGAAAAAACAGCGAAAAAAATTCTGAGTTTTAACAGAACTTTCACCAACTAACAGAAGAACGCTGAAGAACAGGTTAGATTTACTTAACCTCACATAAAATAACTACAGAAACAATAATACATAAATAAAAAACATCTACACTGTACTGCATAACCAAGATATTCCTATGCTGCTGACCTGTCCTTGGGTGCTGCGTAGTCTCAGGGTCATTATCCATCTTGAGCTAATGAAACAAGCCTAGCTTCTACTGCGGGTGTGATCCCTCAATCATGATTGGACCAAAATAGTCATGTGATACACACAGCTGGAAGTTGTAATTTATAATACAGTGGTACCTCAGTTCTCGAACTCATTAGAACTCGAATTTCTTAAAAGTTCAACCAACCAGTTAAAAAAAAAATTACCTAGGACTCGATCTGAATCTCAGAAGTCAAACCGACTTAACAACAACGAAGATAACTTGTACGCGCAGGGAAATCAGTCACGCGGCACGTCTCAGAGAAAACAAAGGGTAACGCTTCAGTCTCAGCCTCGCATTCGCTGTGATAGCATCGTGCATGTTTACACTAGCTGAATACATATATTTAGACTGTAAAAAAATACATTAGACAATGACAGACAGTAAAGGTAATTATTATATAATAAAATACATCTAAAAATAGATTTCTTATTAATTATTTTTATATTAATAATAAACCATTAATATGTTTAATTATAATGATATTGTCGTGCCAAGCGGGGACAGAACGGAGACAAAGGCGCAGACATCAGGGTATCGGGAAATACAGGGTTTAATTACAGGAAAGGCAGGCAAAACGCAGACGGACAATACAATAACCGGACTGGGGAAACAAACTGAAACGCGGACGAAATACAGAGGACTAATGACAACAACCAGAAACAGCTGATCACACGGGGATTCCACACCAGGTTAATGAGGGGGCGTGGCACACGGAAGGAGCAGACTATCAGGGCAGGACACATTGTTTTTTTTTTTTTTTACTTTACACATTGTTTGGATAAATTGGACAAATTACTGTTTTGATAAATGTGCTTAGATGTGTTTAGTACAGTATATGCTTTTCTTGTTTTATCCGGTTCATTTTGTGTTTAAATGCTAAAAAATATATATATTTAGTTGTAATTTTTTGGGGCCGGGAACCATTTAATTGTTCTTCCATTATTTGTTATGGGGAAAATTCGATCACAACTCAAACTTTTTAGGATTCGATCCGGAGTTCTGAACAGATTAAGTTCGAGTTCTGAGGTACCACTGTATTTATAAAATGTACAGCTTGCCCTTACCTTAAATAGTAACATAAGGAAACATTTACATTTACAGTTACATTTAGTAACATAAGGAAAGCTCAACAGGGTGAATCCACGGCAGCGGATTGGGAATGGGACATCATAGTGCCATTTTCTGGAATTGTGACACGAGATCGTGAATGTTTGTATCGTGGTTTTGGTCTCAGTTTCAGAACTGTTACACCACTTCTCATCTGAGACAACATGATCCATGTTGTGTGTATACCGTATCAAGGCAGAAACAGCTTCTGCAAGTTAGTCTCCCAGTGACATTTAAGGCACTTTTTGCAGAAAGTTCAAATTGGGCTAAAAAAAATATCTTGGGCTATAGGGTGTTTAAGGTTCTGGTCCCTCATGACCCTGCATAAGTGGGTATGGAAGACAGATAGATGGATAACAGATAAGGGATAGTGGCCATACCACTGATTTTCGCTTCCATCAGATATCATGTAATGCAAAGGTGGATATCGCCGATACTGGTCCCAATATATAGTGTTAGCACAACCCAGATGATAAAATCTGCGAATGGGGGCTGGGGGCTGAGTGCTGATTGGTCGCAAAACCAAACTGTTCGTCGGCCACAGCGTTCATGAACTGCAGACAGCACTGTATTAATAATTTACATTAAAGTAAGATTACTTATAATTACAGATTATAATCACAGTTTGATTTACTATGGTGATTCAACTGGCTAGTAGTATGCGTGCAGTTATAGAAAATGAATCAACACCCTTCATCCTCGAGAAATCAACAGTGCCAGGGTATAATCATGCTTAATATATATACTAAAATGTGACAGAGAGCTAGACTACTTACACTACAAAATCACTGAAATCTGTGTGTGTAGCATGCAAACTGGACATCCGTGAACATGAGTGGAAGAGCTTGCAGACCCCCACCTTCATGTGCAACGTCAGGGGGCTGTCCCGACCAGGGAGGGGATCCTGGTCCTCCAGGTCTGCTAGGGTGCCTAGAGCCATGGGGTACCTAAAATGGGACAGGATGACAGAGCATCAGTATGAGACCACTGTGTGCTTCTGGAGTAACTCCAGGCGCAGAGTGCAAAAAGCGAAAGGGTTCAATCTATACCTAAAAGGCTCACATGTAAGGAAAGGCAGCATGCCAGTTTTGGATACATATAATTTTGAGCAAACAAAATACTCAAGGAAACAAGGGATAACAAAAATTCAGGGCAGCATATGGCTCAGTGGGCTAAGCCTGTGTGCCTGTAATCATAAGGTCGCTGGTTCAAACCCAGCCTCAGCACATCTGCAGGTCCTTGACCAAGGCCCTTAACCCCCAGCTCCCTGGGCGCCGCTATGGGAGGCTGCCCTTCGGGTGGCTGTTACTCTACAAAAAAGAGCAAGTTGAGGGAGGCGTAAAGACAATTTCCCCAAGTGGATCAATAAAACATTGATTATTATTAAATTAGATTTATGTGCAGTTGAGTTTGTTTTTTTTTTACTGGAGATAAGCTTCCTTCTGAATTATACTGTGATTAATTCAGATATGATTCAGATATGAGCTACTCCACAAAACCAGAAACAGAACAGAATAAAATATAATAGTGATACTTTATTCATCTCCATGGTGAAGTTATGTATATGTCTATCTGATCATGCTCTTCATGAGAAACATAGCACTTGCATGGGAGGTCATAGCACTGGGTCAGCCAGTGTCCAGGACCCCTGGAACTGGGGGTTAAGGGCCTCTTGCTCAAGGGCCCAATGGTGGCATCACTCTGCTGGCCACAGGATTTGAACTGGCGACCCTCCGATCACACAATGTGGGTCTGGCATAGCCAGGCATGTAAATTTTAAGCAAATTCAAAGTGAGACTCATCTGTCCTTTTTTGTGTCACGTGACCACAGTCTTACCTCTCCAAGTCCCCCCGCTCATAAAGAAGCCAGAGCAGTCTCTGCATGGACAGTAAAGAGTAGTGAGTACGTCACAGAAAGTACTGGCCCATAAATATAATTGTATTTAATGCATAACATGGCACACTGAAGCCACTAGGGGGTGCTATAGGCATACCTGCTGGAGCTGCAGGAGCTCTGTGCTGTCCGTGTGCAGGTCCACAGAGGGGTTGATGGCACACACCATGAAGGCCACTTCCATGTTCCTGTTGCACTTTAGGTAGGAGCCCTTCAGGTACAGCCAGCTCTGTTACCATGGCACACCAGTGTATAAGTGGTAAGACCCATGTGCCCATCCAGCTACCGAGAATCATTAACAACCCCAGCCCACATGAGTCACAAACACCGGGAATGCCATAGTGACATAGTCTGCAAAAAACAACTGCTTAATGCTGCAATCCTACCAATCAATGCCCCAACTGTAGGCAAGAATCATAAGCTTAAATCCAAGTCCAAAAATCCATGCTTCTTAATAATTGCGGTCCAATGCAACTTCTAATATGCAGCAATGTCCAGTGTGAATACTAAGGCTGTCGCGATTAGTCAACATAGTCTATGATGTCAATACTGAAAATCCGTCGACATCAATATCTGAAATTGACACATCATTTAAAAAAAATATATATTTTATTTATGATTTATAAAACGCTTCAATTATAACAACCGTTTTCCTTTAATATCACTACGTAACTATGGGAGTAGTTCAACTCAACACAAAACAAAAAGGTGGTTTTACACTGTGCACAATTCGACAGCATACTACAGCGGCACTAGTTCTATGCCGAAGCGCCTGAAGAGAAAACACAGAGGCACTATTCTGGACCGTCACAATAAGCAAAACCATCCTAAGTGTTGTCTATTCATGTTTATTAAATTACCATTAGTATGGGGAACTTTTTAATAACTTTTGTCCTTGTAGTTGCTAAAAACACTCATTATCAAACCCATGAAGTTGTCTGCCTGCTACCTTAAAATCTCCATTGAGTAAGTGTTTGCGAAAATGCAAAATAATCTGGGCTTGTTCCACATGAATTGACGATGCCAGTGTGTGTGTGTTCCAGGGCATTGGGCTTGTTGGGACCAGGAGAGTTCCTAGCTATTGAAGGGATCAGGGGCTAAGTCAAGCTTACCTGGGGCTTGACTTTTTTTTTTTTGAGAAAGAAGATTTTAAGATAATATTCGGGGGAAGATTGGCTAAAATATTCGGGGCTATAGGCAAAAAGCCAGCATCCACTATCTAAAACCCAGCAATAACAAACATTTTGTTGATGTCACAATAAAATTGACTTAAATTAAAGGGTGTATTTTATTTTCTGGAGTAAAATTAATTGTTTAGATTAATTGACCAATCAGTAAGATATTCGATAGATTAATCCATGGAAAAATAGTTGTTAGTAGCAGTCCTAGTGAATACTAATACACCATGATGTCCAGTGCAAACTTCCAGTGTAAACAGTAATATGCAACAATGTCCAAACACTAATATGCAGTGAGAAATGGACCAATATGCCTGCACTGTAAACAGCCACCCTGGGAGACATGCTGAGAAGTGAAAGAAAGGCACACAGAACGCACCCTCTCGCTGACACCAGCGCTGACCGTCTGGCCACGCCTGTCTTCATTACCCTTGCCATGCCACGTGACCTCTGCTGTCTCTTCACCGCCCTTGCCGAAAATGACCCAGGCGTGGTCTTCAGAGAGCGCCAGATGCACATCCTGCAGCCCTAGGACCTGACAGGCTGCCACCACTGCAAAGGCCACCCCAGAGCTGTCCAGCTTGGTGCCTGATCACACAAAGGACAGCTGCATTAGATACTACACTCTCTTCTTCTGTATTGCAAATCTATTTCCCGCAAAAGGAATTTCATTAACATTACTGACTAAAAAAGGATCATGAGTCCCAGCTCTGATTTTATGACAGACACCTATCACAAATTTATGGGCATACTTACCTTGACATATTGTGCTATAACTAGATAATTATATATGTAAAATTAACTATACAGCACCATCTTGTAATTGGTGAATTTCTACATAGTATTTGCAGCCAGTGAAGAGGGTGCTCCTATTCCCAATATGAAAATATGTGGTGAGCAATATGACAATAATGTATTGAGACCAGGTGGAATTGTATCTTTGATAAGTGTTTCAGAGTTACTGCAAGAATCCTGATACAGCAAAACATTTAAATTTTTATTTAGCAGATGCTTTTGCCCAAAGCAACAGATAAAGGCAGATTTCAACTTATGCATAGAATCAGTGCTGGCAGTACAGTGTAAGTACAGCACAGCCACATACCCTACACTGTAATCTTTCTGTTCCCCAGAAATCTAACTACAGGTGTCAGGCTAAGGTGTAGAGCATGCAGCTACCAACGGCATAGATTCTACACAGAAGTATAAATCAGCCTTAAGGCAAATAGTACATTACAAGCATACATGCTATCCAAAGGAGTTGAGGCAAAAGTGGGCTAGGCTGAGCTTCCAATGAATGGCCAATTACAAGTGCTCTACTTAACACTATTATCATAACAACAGAACAAAGAAGCAAGTGTCTATCATTTTTTGTCATGTTATAAGTCTCAGTGGATTTTAATAACTTAATGACTGGATCTTGAAACTTACTTGATAATTTCTAACCAGTTAGCTGACATTTATATAACATCACACTGCTAAAAATATTGCAATCATGTAACAGGGTAAATAGGTCCATAGAAGGGTCACGTATACTGTTGAGTAAAGAGTGTTTGCGGCATATAAGGACGAATGGGTAAAAAACAATTGTGTGGAAATGGTTTAGATTTGCCAAATCCAGTGTGGACCTATCTACTGTAAACTTATACTGTAAACTTATGCAAACATATCATTTGTACAAGAGGTGGTAACATGCAATTTTATTGCTCTAATATTATATGTTTTTAATTGCTGTAAACTTCTATTTAGAAGTGCACAGCTATTGACCGAAATAATAAATATTCATTTGCACTCAAATGTTTTGAAACTTTACTACTGAAAAAAATTGGTAAACAAATTTAAAAATTGTGATCTATATCATGGATCATGATCGTAACTAAAAATATTGTGATAGAACATCCTGGCCAAATCACCTACCCCTATATCTTGCTATTGTTTACAACGAGTATGGCAGGCAGCCTTCGTCTAGCCCAGTGTTTCTATCGAACCATCTTCCATGAGCAGTATTACAGTGTGTCTGAAGCTTATCCCAAAAAGCACAAGCCAAGGTAAACCCCAAGGAGGATGCCAGTTCACCTAAACGTATGTTTTTGGACTGCAGGAGGAAACCTGCTACTAAGAACAACAAGTAAACTTCACACTCACTGAACCCAGTGCGGGATTCAAACCCTGAACTGCAAAGCCACAGTGCCATTCTAACCGCGGAGGGAATAAACATTATGAAGAGCCAGGCTGCCAGCTGACTGGTGTGGCATGCACCAGTAGGCCCTCACCTGTGATGAGGCTGAAGAGAGACTGTATATGGGCCCGGTCCTTAAAGTATGAGCGGCTGAGGCTGTTCCAGATGACGTCAGACACCTTCTTCACCAGCTCTCGACTGGAGCCGCCAGCTGGCCTCCGGTACTGTGAGAGGTCGACGGCGCCACGGATCTGTGCAGTAAAGCGTTCATACAGAGCAGCCAGCAGGCTCAGCTCCACGGTGGGGAAGCAGGACGAGGGGCATCCCAGCTCCAGAGGCTCGAAGGTCACACCGGGGACATTAGCTGGAACCACGCGGTTCACTGCCAGGAAGTGCTCAACGAAACCCAGGACTAGGGATAGAAGCGCCAGGTCGGGCTCGGGCTTGCAAAGCTCCGCGTCGAACAACTGCACCACTCCATCGATTCCCCGCAGAGGGAACAGCTTCTTCTGGGCTGAGCGCAACCCCATGACCCTGCCTGGCTGTCACACTCACTTCTATGCTGGATAATGAGGGTTCCTCTGCACCAGGAGAGAGCCACACACACACCAAGCAAGTCATGAAAAATGTGCAAAGGTCACATAGTTCAATTCTTAAAACCATCAATAATACCAGCATGTACATACATTAATATCCTATATACATTGTTCTGGAGAGTAGAGATTTACAGTGCCAGTCAAAAACCTGGACACACCAAGCCGTCTACAAAGGTCAGTGATGGTGTTGCATCACATGACCTCACCACACAGCAGAAATGGTTTTGTAGGAGTTTGACCAGAGAGTAAAGAAAAAGCACCCAAAGAGAGCTCAGCATATATGTAGCACCTCCTTCAGGACAGCTGGAAAAGCATCCCAGGAGGCCACCTCATGAAACTGCTATAGAGGAGACAGTAGGCTTGGCCAGTCCCTGGAGTAATTTGCATTGAGGCCCAATGTTAGGATCACTCTGCCGACTACGAGATTCGAACCGGCAACCTTCTGGGTCCCAACCCACAGAGCTGTCCCACTGCCCAACAAATGACTATTTTTATGCCTTTTCAGTTGGTACATAATTCTATATATGTTCTTTTATAGTTTTGGTGTCCATATATACATTATTCTAAAATGCAGAGAAAAGTACAAATAAACCTTTCAATCAGTAGGTGTGACTGGTATTGTACATCCAGTTCAAGTACTTTAAAGGTGATGAGAATATCAGCACTGAGTTAGAAATGCATGTTTAACTATAACCAGTATTACTAAAAATCTGCAAGGTCGATGAGGAGCCCAGTCTCATTTGTAGATTGTAGCATGTTCTTATACAAAGTTAAAAAAAAAACAAAATAGATATAATAATATTATGAATGATTTCATTAAATACAACAAAATGCAAAGCATACTGTCAATAACATTTATATTTCTTAATAAAGCTAAGAAATTAAAATTTTGTAATACGAGTATAAATTTAATTGTCATTAAGAGCTTTCATACTACGTGTGCGCATAGAAGGTTTTCGTTATCATATTTGACCACCACAGCTAATAACTGCGCACTACACAGTATGTCTTGCTAACACAAAGCTTTATTGCAAATACCATCCATGCTATTTCTGTATTGTATGCATTACACTGTGATGGATCTGTTACGATGTGTTGCATAACAGATCTAACGTAACTGAAGAATAGCTATAACATGTAAAAATGATGTTTGCACACCGGTTTGATTATCTGCGATCTACACAAACGAACATAGACTTCAGATCATTTACTACACCTTTACAAGCGCAATCAACACGACCACCACGGGCGCATTGCTGTTTCAGGTTTCGCTAGATAACCTGTATATGTCTGGCGAAATGATTAAAGTTAAAGAGAAAGCTCACTACAACGAGTCCGTACTTATAATTAACGCTCAACCAGCAATTCTAATAAACTGATCAGTAAATCATCAGATACAGCGTAGCACTATCACGTTATTAGGCATAACACATTGTGTCTAGTTGTCGCTTTATTTCATAAATCCGAACAATTTACCTACAATGTGAATTTGGAAGTCGTTTATAAGTAATATTTTATGAAATTGCAGTACAATTTTTAACAAAATGATTCTATTATTTATTCAAGTATTAAATTATACATACCGCATAAATCATAACTTCAACCACATGTTTTTGTTTTGTACCCAAATACCGCCTTGCTTTTGCCGCGCAGTTCGTTTTGTCGTAAATTTTAGAAGCGTCGTAAACCAGTGTCATTTTCTGACACATGCGTACAAGCGCGGCGGCGCTACGGCATTGTTGCATTCTGGGACTCTGAGTTTTTAAAGTAGGAGACCATAATTCAGAGATTCCAAATCTAGGCTATGATTTCGTTTTTCCCAGGTATTTAGTTTAATAATTACTGATCCTGAGCAGTACCTGAGGCTTCACAACTGGCTTACTGGTAAAGAAAGGCTGAAAAATCAGCAGCGTATGTGTTTTGAGTAGCCCTACCCTAATTTCCAGTTACTGATTAAACAGAGGCACAGTTTAACGCACAAATCTACTTTGGGAGCCAACTCATTTGGACGTACATCTGGGTTGGGCTACAAATGATGTTATGATTGTCCATACTAACAGCTTGATCGGCTACTGAGTGGCCTCGCTGCCGGAGGGTAGAAACTGTTACAGAGCCTGTGTGTCTGCACTCTGATGATCCAATACTGTTTCCCTGATTGTGGCTGGGATGGCTAGGGTCCTTGAGGATGGACCAGGCCTTCTTCAGGCATCTACTTCTACAGTTAACCTGGATGTCAGGCAGGTTGCTGCTAGCGATACTCTGTGCTGACTTCACCATACTCCTCAAGGTTTTCCAGTCATGGGTGGTACAGATTCCGTACCATGTGGTAAAGCAGCCATTTTGCTTTTTTGCTCACACAACTCAAGGAATGAACTTGCTCCGTAGTGATCAATTGGCAGAACAGATGATCACAGGCCAGGAACACACGTAACAAGGCAGCATAAAATGGTACTTTCCTGGTCATTTGTTTAAATATTTATCACAAGGTACTTCACATGTCAAAGTCCAGACAAATGAAATTGAGCACATTGGCAAGAACAATCTGTCACATACTTAAATCAGTGCAGCAGACCCACATCCTAAGCACAAATAAATGTATTATAGCGAGTGATTGAGTCATTCTAATAAAGGAGATGACATCTCTTTTAAAATGGAAGCTGCTATCTTTATTAATAGCCATTGCTGGTTTAATACTAGCAGTGGCACAGACAGGGAAAAGCCAACAATTTACATAGTGCTCACTGTTACACAATAATGAACCGCATGCATTCCACAGTAAACATTACACAGTTATGATATTTACTATTAATAGAAATAGACAAATATACATAGACAGTTACACAATTTAAAGTGTTGGTGCAGTATAAAATATGCCTGCAACTACATAATTAGTCCTGCTGACCAATCCTGCAGTGTCACATTTATGTCAGCCAGTCGTGGACAGTGGGTGGGATCAGAATAAACAAAAAAAGTTTGCCTTGGGGACAATGCACAGGCGGAGCATCGAAATGGTGATCTCCGCAATAATCACTGCTCATAAGATGTTGTATGGCCAAAACAATGTTGATTCTGTCAATTTTGTGTGAAGTATAGGGCCACCTTAACTGAGTGTACAGCTGTCTCAAAAAGGCATCAAACATTCCACCTTTTGCTTATATGAGAAACGCCAGGAGGGACCACCCACTGACAGCCACAGAGCACAACATGAACGGAGGGAAGGCTGCAGGCTCTGACGCCATCCTACTCAATTGTGTGCAAGTGTCTGCAGAGAATCACAGCCTCCCACAAGCACCAGCAACAACGAGACAAGGAAACCAGTAGGTGGAAATTCTATGTGCATCTACAAAGTATTAAAGGACCAGCAGGGATAAGCCACCAGCTGGCTCAGGTGGCAGGCCATCAGGGAGGAGTAACTGCACAAGTGGGAATTGCCCATCAGTAGTTCCAATTACAATATGATAATGAGATACCTCATGACAAAGCTATGGTACAAAATTAAGTGTCAAATCACAAAATAAAACACCCTGTTGATGGGAGTCTTTCTTAACAAGGGTCCTCAAACATGATACTTATGATAAAATTTCAAACCTAGAGTTGCCACCCGTATTTTATTGGATTGCCCTGTTTTGAAAAAAAGTTGTGTCCCATCTTGAATGTATTTTTGTGTCTGGACCAAAGTACAATTAAACCTGGACTGCACAAGCAGTCTTATCGGTTGACAATTACACCATTTCAGAAAAAAGTAGGAGGCCTTCTGATAACTGACATAGCCCACGGGCCACTGAGCATGTTAATGCACTTGTGTCTGCTGATGCCGTTGGCACATGCCTGTCATACCCATAAATCATCATGAGTGCCACATCTAAAAATATTTATAAACTTATACGCTTTAGGTTATATATAGTACCAGCATTAAAATGCCACGTCCTGTGTAACGTCAAGTCAAAATATCTTTATCTTTGTTGTCATCTCAGCTGTATAATGCATATACTGACATGAAGTACTGATCCTCATTAGTCATCAGGGCAGGATTAAGAAGAGGGTCCACCTCTTTATGTCCAAATCAAAAAGATTCAAAGTGAACGGTCATTTCTGCATCGAAAATCAGGTTTTTGATCAAATGTAATGTTTATTTTCATTAGTAGCTCTGACCAGACATTCATTTTTTGATGTGAAATGAAATGAGACATTCCTGCATGACGCCTACATTTCTGTCCTATGTTTTTGTATTTTGACTATTTGCGTTAATCATACTATGTAACCACACTACTGTGTAAGAAGCAATTCTTGAATAACTTGATATTTTAATGCATTTTTCAAAGGGAGATTTCAAATGAATAAGTAAGAATATTATTTGTTGTAATAATGATGCATTTAGAAGTTAACCAGTCATTTTTGATCACATTTTTTTTTTTTTTTATTGCTTTATGATTGTGATAATAAATACATATAATAACTAATCAACTAATCTTCAGAGTGGCTTATTCAGGATCCCCCCCCCCCACTCAGTACCTGACAGGGGGCCCCTGCTCTCTGATCCTGATTTAGCCCTTGATTAATAGTAGCAAATGGCTCTGGGCAACAGCACACATGACGTCATGTCAATGGACCCATTTTATGTTAAAACGGCGTCCTATCTACTCGTCAACAGATATCAACAATACAATTGTAGATATCTGCAATTGCATTGGTCCTAGGCATAATTCTAGTTGTAGATATCTGCAATTGCATTTTTACTAGTCATAATATTAATTGTGGATATCTGTAATGACATTTTTACTATTTACAATGTATTTTTAAATATTCAAAATTACATTATATATATCTGGAATGTTTTTTTCCTTTCAGATAGGCCTATCTGAAATTAAAATTATGACTAGTAACAATTGGATTGTAGATATCTGAAATGGGAGTTTTTACTATCAGGAATTCAATTTCGGATATCCAGAATGAACATTCTGGATATCTGAAATATAATTGTGGATATCTGAAATTAAAAGCCCAATAGACATGAATGGCAAAAGTGACGTAATTTCTCCTAGGAAGAATGACTTTGTGGATATCTGAAATGACAATTGTGGATAGGAAGAATGTCATTGTGGATATCTGAAATGCTCTTTTTGACTAGGAAGAATTGAATTACGGATATCTGCAATACATATCCAGTCTAGCGATTAAATGTCAAAACGGCCACTTATACTTTGTAAAGATTTAAAGATATCTTAAGTAGAATTGTGACTAGGAGAAACAAAGTTTTAGATATCTTGAAATACATTTTCTACTAGTAAGAATGCAATTGTGGATATCTGTAATTACCATTCTGACTAGTAAGAATATAATTTTGACTAGAAGAAATGATATTATGTATATCTAAAATGTAATTACGGATAGGAGTGTGACTTGATTAAATGTTAAAACGGCTTGCCATATACGCCAGTACTTGGAAACAGGTGTTATGCCGAAAAAGCCCACTAAACATTGGACGTCGGATAGGCGTGCAGATCATGTCTATATTAGGTCCGTCAGTCCATGACCAATTCTGGACATCTATACAACATCCAAACTAGGTCCACAATTTGAA